TATCAAATATTTTGGATAACCTATTTGTAATAAGTAATGAGTCCTAATCTGTGTGGGTCACCTTGGCTACACACATACAATGAAAACCTTTGTCTGGCAAGTGCATAACACTGTGATAACATTTTGTAAAACCAGTTGTAGGACCTGATTTTGTTCTCATGTCTGCCGGCTTTATACCAGTGCAACTCCATTGACTTTAATATAAATCAGGAGTAACTCAACTGGATTAATGAATCAGGATCAGGCCTTAAGTTCTTGACTATTAATGCTAATTTGTGCCACATAAAAAGGAGCAGAACTGTCCAGTGGAGGATCTCCCCTAAATAGGGGAATATGCTGATTGTGTAGGTCCCCCTCAACATCTAGCACTGCGGGCATGTTTGGGGAAAGAGGAAGTGGCAAGAACATATCTAAAACGTAGTCATCTCCAATTGCTGGAACAGTCCCTTGGGGCCATAGGCAACTTCATGCTGGGGATCAGACTTGTGACTAGACATCCCAAGAATTGGGAGTGGTGGGGAAGAGTAGGACAGACACCATAAAAGTAGCATAAAGCTACCTTTGTCTGCTCCTGTGCCACGCCCAGGCCAGCTGGCCCAGAGAATCCAGCCTAGAATGTTTAAACTGTCTTATATGATTCTCTTGCTTTATTAGTCTCAAGACAATATTTGGAACAAATGGCCTTAGTTAGAAGGGGGGCAGACGAATGGTAAGAAAAGGAAAGGGCAAAGGGCCATTAAAGGGAAGGAGCATGAGAGGGACAGGGCAGGGGAGAAGAAGGTAAAAGGTGGCAGGTATGGAGTGACGCTGAGGTGAAGAGACTGCAAGGGGGAGGTTTGGCACAAACAGCCAATCAGTCCAGGACAGAGAAAGTCTAATCAAAACTCTTGAAAGGTCTCTGAGAATATGTCTACACTGCAGCTGGAAGGTGCAACTCCCAGGGCAGGTAGACTTACACACTCTAGCTCTGCTTGAGCTGGTGTGCTGAAGCTAGCAGTATGGCTGCAGCAGCTTGGGTTAGCTGCCTGAATGTGCCCAGGGGATCGGGTGGGATTATACACAGGTAGTTAGTCCAAGCGGCTGCTGTTACATTGCTACTTTTAGCATCGAGCTTGATCAAAGCTAATGTGGGTCCTGGAAATTATACCCCTGGCTGCAATGTAGACATGCCCTGAATGTCCAGAAGTCCCTGCTTTGGCAGCTTCTGTTCCTACTAGCTGGAGTCTCTCTTCAGTTTTGCCCCAAGGCACATTGGGAGGGAAGGCACCACCTGGGTCCTAATGCCCTCAGAATAGAGGTGTATAAAATTTTAGGACAAAAATTCTTCTGATTCATGTCCATGAAACTGTGCAGTCAGTAAAGAGACCTTGAAGTTGAGTCTTAATGGGGAACACAGAAGCAGCACCAATGAGGATCCGATTAATAATGCACAAGTACGAGTGTGTCTGAGCTTTTTATAGACAGAGACCCTGACTAAAAAAATCCTGCTTGAAACTAATCACATCTCTGAATATGTCCCTGGAGCCTGAGAGTTTTGCTGGGGAGCCAAGCATTTTTCTTTCATGAAGAAGCCTGGAGGAGCTGTAAGGAGGAAGATGGATTGTGATCACATTTTTAATACGGTCTGCTTTAGGGAGAAGCTTTTGGCTTTTTATTAAAAAAAATACCAACCAACCAAACAAAAATCATCCCACAAAAACCAAACCCAAATGCTAGGTTAGTCAGGATGACTGGGAGTTGTATGTGCTGTTTTAACACTAGGTTTTTATTTTGTCCTACCCTACATTGATTCAACTGCAAATCCTGATCATATAAGGATGTGAAGAATATTGTGAGCTTGTAAGATGTATGAAGCAGACAAGCATATGAGCTTGGAGGTTTGGAGACTCTAGCTAGGTAGGGTGGTGGTGTGATTGTGTCTTCAGTTTATGACCTGCAATAAAATATGAAAGATTAGTACTGCTTCTCTCTTTGGATTAATTTAGGTAATGACTTCAGGGAATGGATGTGGAAAGGTGACATGCACCTGTAGAAGATATTGGAAGGCAAGAAAAATTTATATTATATATATATACACACACACACACAGAGGATTTTGTACAATATCAATTTTATATTTTTAAAGAGTGTTTTCAGAAATGACACCATGTAAATACATGACACAGTATACTTGATGGAATTGCTTATTTAGCAATTCAAGGAGCTATACCATCATTAACTGCAGTTCCTTATTTAGTATTTTTGGTTTCTCAAAGTGAATACAGGTTCATGAAAGATGACATCTCTGGAGTCTGATGTCCTCTGTCAGCCCACAGCATGTGGGTTCAGCACAAAGCAGTACAAGCGTCTCTGGGCCATCCTGACGTGCTGCAGCACAAAGAAAGAGGTTAGTTCCATTTCCAGGCAGTTTATCTGCTGAAACTGCCAACAAAGATGCCAGTTCAGTGTCTATTTTAAAAATGGCACTTTTCACCATAAACTGGACTGGATCAAATTCATTCATATTATAAACCAGCCACCAACTGGTAATAACTGTGGCACTACTGGCCTATGCTGAATACAAACCGGTGGCTGAGGCCCTGCCTACACTGCGATTTTAACCACCTAGAGCAGCTGCACTGAGGCAAATTGAACTGAACAGGTGTAAATCAATTCTGGACTAGGGGTTTGCATGGCTGCGCTCATAGGTGGCTAAAATCCCAGTGCAAAAAAGGTCTGAAGTATGAGAAAACTTAATTACTCCCATTACTAACTGCCTGAGCTATATAGCCCTGTTACTGGCTATTTTAGCATGAAATCCTTCATATGTATATATGTGTGTGTGTGTGTGTGTATGAAGTTTTGAAACTTTTTTCTTAGCTTTACTTAATTGTAAAACCCTCCCAACATTTATCTTTTATAAAATAACCTGGTTTGACTACTTTAGCCATCAAATCTCGCCATTTAGGCTGACTTAATTCAGTTAATATCTTGGCTGATTGCCAGCATGTTACTTCAGTGAAATGTATTATGGCTGGAGTAGAGGCGATTTAGATGGAAGCACAGCCATTAGAAGCAATGTACTATGTACAAGATATAGTCCCTATTTAACATACCAGTTTTCCTTGCAGGAAAACAAAACAAAACTGATTGCTCACAATGAAAAAAAAAGCAAAGCCTGGCATTGTTTCTTAAAATACTTGTAATTTGAGCTAGACACTGTCAGGGACAATAGTTCAAACCACAGTGCATTGTGTGCAAACCTCTAAGAAATGGGAGTCAAATGAACACCAGGCTTCTAAGCCTTAGCTATTTTTGTTAATCTAGGCAAAACAAAAATACTTGCTTTTTGTGATAGGTCAGGGTGAGAAATAAAGGAAGAGAAAGAGCATAAGGGTATGTCTAGACTACGGGCACTACAATGGCACAGCTGCAGTGCTGCAACTCTGCTGCTGTAATGCCATCCTGTAGCTGTTTCCTACTTTGACAGAAGGGGTTTTTCCACTGATGTGGGTAATCAGCTTCCAGAAGCAGTGGTAGCCCTGGGTTGATGGAAAAATTCTTCCATTGACGTAATCGTGTCTACACCAGGGGTTAGGCTGGCTGAACTACTGCGCCCCAGAGTGTGAACTTTTCAAACTGCTGAGTAACATAGCTAGGTCGATCTGAATGTTAAGTATAGACCGGGCCTAAAAGGAGGACTCCACAGCTATTGTTGCTGCACGCCCTTTGTTTGCAAGACGGAACCATGGAACAGAACTAGACCAATTTCACAGCAATTAACATGTTTCTAGACAGGTGAGCACTGGGGCTCCATATCAGGGGAAGACTGATATCCAGTATGGGATTTGTCTGTGGCTGTCACAGATGACAAGGATAACTAAGCATGTTTTTCTGGGAGTCAGGTAAGCGGAAGATTCCTCCAATTCATTCACTAGTTTGGATTTGAGAGGGTAATAGTCTGAACTGTTGTCATGGGCTCTGGCTGTGAACCCCCACCAGTCAGAATCCAGTAACACAGATATATTCTTTCATGAAGAGGCATCCCCTCTGAAAATCTTCCTGAATGGATCCTTCTAGGGTGACCAGATGTCCCAATTTTATAGGGACAGTCCTGATTTTGGGGGCATTTTCTTATATAGGCGCCTATTGCCCTCCACCCCATAACGATTTTTTTACACTTGCTATCTGGTTACCCTAGATCCTACGCATTGGCCTTTGCCTTAGAGTTAACAGACTCAATATTTTAGATTTAATATTGACTTGTGGCCAGCTGCACATCATTTAAAACTATTACTTTAAAACTGATCAGCAGTATGCTTTCATTCCGTGTGTGTTTAAACTAAATCCCAAGGCTGCTAGAGCTGTGTGATTACTTACTCCACAAGGAATTAGTGGCAATTTAAGGTCAGTTTCTAGCCAAATGAGAATTTCAGATCTCTGCTCATCTCTCATTTTATTATGTATATTTATCTTTTTTTAAATATTGCACATGCAAATTATTTTGCAGCAAACGCAAAAAGCTCAAGAAGGCAGCAGCAGCAGCAGCCGCCGCCACAATCAGATTCTGAACAGACAGTGCAAGGAGGAGTTTGGTTTCTCTTCTGCTTTTAGCAACCGTTGGGATTACCTTTTCTTCCAGTGAGAGGCAAAGCTATTCAATTGTTGCAGGATAATGTCCCCCCAGCAAGTAGACAGTTTTAACAATTCATGCACACGTGGTTCTCCCCCTGCGTCTCTGAATTCCAGACTTCCAGCTGGGTGCCATTTGATAATGAAAAGGACCTGACAAGCACTTCCCAGCCGTCCCATAGCAGAGCTAGTGCCTGTTTCATAAAGCAAAAGGCAATTCTGTCTGATCCTTGCTGTTATCCCAAGAGGGAATGGAGTGAACGAGCTTCACGAATGATTTCCAGCTTGGTGGAGATGCAATAACAGACCGGAATTAGAGAAGAAATTGGGGAGAGTAAAAAGAAAACCAAGAGGCCTCACACTTGCACTCAGTTTGCGTAGCTAAAAAAAGCAACCCACTTATTTAATTTGGACTGCGGAGTTAAGTAATCAGCCCATTCCATTTGCAATACGTTTGCTGTAAATCGACATTCTTGCCCAAGAGCACTCTTATGAGCAAAACTGAGCATTCAAACAATGTGCATGATGGCGGAGGGGAGCTCGGTCTGAGGATTATTGCTACATACTTACCGAGGTAACTCCAAGTTTCCTTAGCAAATGTGTGCTCATTTATATCAATCTGGGTGTGTACAAATGTGGTTTGTTTCCTACAGCAGTTGTGTGCATGAGAGGGGGTGCTGAGGGAGCAGGGGTTCCTTCTTAGCTGCTTGTGAAGGTTAAATGGAATTGAGTTGCATCAAAAATTCCACCTTTCAGCCATGAAGTGTTAATGTGGGCATGGCCTTTTAAAAAGAGCTGTCAGTTTTATGACAACATTCTAATCTCCTCCCCTCCGTAGTACATGCTAGTCCTAATGGCTCTCAATGGGTCACATTTGCAATTGTATGGAAACAGCAGAATTAGCTATGCAGGCTTTGTCTGTTTGTTTTTGTTTTTTTTGGGGGTGGGGGGGCGTTTGTTTTTTGCTATCATCTTATTTCCGTTAACATATATGTAGTGGCAACCTGTTAAAAATCAGAACCTTTATTGCACACACAACTACATATGTGAAGTAGATTACAATTCCATAAAAATATTTCTCAGCACTGTTGTGTTGACTCATTTTCTTTCTAAATTAATTACTGCAGTTTCTTTTGTGAACTCATGAAAAAGTGCTATTCTACCATCTACCGTCTCCAATCCAGACTCTTGCTGGAGGAATATTTGCAGAGCCTAGTGACAGCCGCTGAACAGTCAACATTTGCTAATAACCACAGCAGGCTGAAACAAGACTTTCCATAGGGAGATCTAAGGTAACTGTGATAACAAATGGCACTTATAAACTTTCCAACAGCTTCTATGGCATATATCAATGAATTGCAGATATTTTGAAGCCAATGGAAAGGTTTTGCATGTGTTTTTTAAATTAGCATTTTAACATAAATATTGGGGGGGGGAGTTTTGCACAAATACAGAAACTATTCTGTCCCTTGGAATGTCTGTTCCATTGTGTGAAAGATGTTCTTTGTTCTTTTTCAACAAAGAAAGTGCCATGATTCCAAATGTAGTCTCCTACATGAATATTACTGAAAGGGCTCCTGGGCTGCCCAGTCGTGAGCATATGGAGGGAAGCTAAACTGGACACACAATGTCATGGAGGGACCATGTGGCAGTGAAGGATGATTACGTGAGATATTTCCCTGCCTCTGCAGAATATCTGGGCAGCTGACCTTCTACACAGGAGGGGAGGAGCTGGCAAGGAGCCAGATAACAGCAAATCTACATGGTCTGTTCCCCTTCCTTTGCATATTGAAGCTCACATAAAAACCTGGGATTAGTTAATGCTGCTCAGAGCAGCATCAGCTACTCCTCCAGGATTTATTTCCTCCATTGGCAGGGTCACACAGTGCAGCCCCACAGCTAACTGGCAAAATGCCTGGCCAGGAGCTGCCTCTTGCAGTGTAGTTGTAGCCATGTTGGTCCCAGGATATTAGGGAGACATGGTGAATGAGGTAATAAGTAGTTCAATAAAAACTATTACCTCACCACCTTGACTGTCTTTTGCAGTGCTCAGGGAGGGAGAGAGGTGGCCCAGCAGGCACTAGGAGGGGATGAGCCACCATGCTTCCCTCTGGGTGGGTGTGCGAAAAACCCTTTCTTAACTACGTAGATCATTAGCCTCTGCCCGTTTGCCCTTCCCAGCCACTCTGTGCATCTGATGAAGTGGGTTGTAGCCCACGAAAGCTTATGCTTAAATAAATTTGTTAGTCTCTATGGTGCCACAAGTACAGTACTCCTGTTCTTTTTTTAGATAGGAGAAATATAACCTTCTAGCTGCACTTTAAGGGTACATCTGCACTGTAGCTGGGATCCTGCTTGAGCTAGGATGCTAAAAAGAGCAGCGTAGCCAGGGATAGCACAGGCAGCCGCGCAGACTAATTGCCTGAGTACAAACCCACTGGGACACCTGGTGTGTACACAGGTGGCTAAACGGAGCTGCTGCCCATCTTGCTGCCCCAGCTACATTGCTACTATTAGCGTGCTAGCTCAAGCAGAGCTAGCTTGTGCCTGTCTACCTGCCCTGGGAAATATTCTCCCAGATACAGTGTAGACATATCCTAAAAGGCTGCACGGCTTTTGGAATATTCCCCTCTACCCCACGACTTTTAATGCCAGTAGGCAACATACTTTTATGGCCCAAGACACCCACGTTAGGTTCTAGTGTTGTAGCGACCCTAGAAATGTGCACACCACCAGCGTTTAGGGCAATATCTCTGTCATATTACTTTTTTCTCTTCTCAGTAACCATTCTAAGTACCATGGTCAGTTTCTACAATTTCAACAGTAAAAATGGTGAAAACATTACAGGCAGGCATCGCACAGTAGCATTTACCACTGCTCTACCTCTTCCCCCATCCCCGGGCTGGTGTGTGTGTATGTGTAATATAAAGGAAGACAAAACCATGGAAACAGTAATGCAGAGGCCTAGGGTGTCAGTGGCCTGAAAATTGGATACGAGTTTGCTGTTCAAAATGGCAGGGGAAAACAAAAGCATAGTTTTGGGTTGCATCTATTGAAGCATCACAAGATTGAGCCGGGAAGTGGCAGAATTTTTTCTGACTTTTCTACATCGGCCCAGTGTTAAGGTGCCCAGAACTGATTACAGATTTGCAGAAAAGGATTGAAAACTATATCTGACTTAATTATAATTGATAATTCAACATCTGATTGATATATTCTTTTTCTGTATGCAGGTGATCTCGGAACAAATTGATTCTGATAACCCAGGGACTACGAATAGTCACTGTTCATGCTGCATGACTGATCAGCTAAATTATATGACATCATTTCCGTTCACTGATTAGGTGACCTAATTAGCCACAAATATTCTTATCAGCTGGACAAATCTACTGTGCAAATAATAAGACCACTTTTCCATAATCGCCATTATAGCATTTTCAGTGTGATTGTTCTCAAGGATATTTATGTACACCAGAATTCACCAAGATTTTTCTTTCTATGAACCGTCTTGTGAACAAAACCTTGCTTACTCAACTGTTAACACATAATCAAGTGAAGGTGGTCTAGGATACTGGTGGAGTGAATCAGTGTGTTTTATTCACAGGAATATTCACAAAATGCTTTTTTGCTGCATTCACGGCATGTATTGAGGAAGGTAATTAACAGTGACTAATGAACAAGAGGGAGTGACTTATTAGAGATTGGAGAAACTAAATAGGTTCTTCTTGGCTAAGCAATGACTAAAAAAGGGCATCTGCAACTATTTGAAGGATGGAAACATTCAGGGCCAGATTCTGATATATTATTCAACATGGGTAAGGTCTTGCTCCACAAATGGCCCCCTTGAAGCCAATGGGACTAGTCCTGAAGTAAGATGATTCTAAGTGTGAATAAAGGCTCAGCATCTGGCCCTAAAAGAGAAATTACTTAGTGTGGTACAAGTCAGGGGAGACACTGGGACGAAAATTAACAAAAGAAAATTTAAGGTTTAATATCAAGAAGCTCTTCCCAAGAGGGCATTCTATAATACTGGGAACAGTTTCCCCATAGCTGTGGTGGAAGTCTCCCCATCGTTGGGGCATTTAAACTAGGCAGAAACAATAGGAAATATATTGTAAGGAATCGTTGTGCTGGGGGAGAGGGTCTAGATCATACTCCTAGATAAGGCCAGAAGGAACCGTTATGATCATCTAGTCTGACCTCCTGCACATCGCAGGCCACAGCATGTCACCCATCCACTCCTGCCATAGCCCCATAACCTCTGGCTGAGTTACTGAAGTCCTCAAATCTTGATTAAAAGACTTCAAGTGACCGAGAATCCACCAGTTGCCTAATGGGTCTTTTCAAACACAAATTATTATGATTTTAAGAATCCGGGTTCTCCCCGATAGACCTATCAAGTTGCTCAGCTCCAACGCAATGCACAGATTCTTAGCAGAGACCATAAATTTCTTTGTGAGTCCTCTCTTTTCTTTACAGTTTCCATGACTGTCAAGAGCATGGGGAGTGCAGGCTGAGCTAAACCTTTGAAAAACATTTAGGTCACCTCCCAGCAAATGCACCAAGGAGCTGCCAAAGAAAAGCATAACAATCTTTCAGCTTCAATCATTTCAGCTGAAATTATAATGCAGAGGAATGTCGACATGATTGGTAGGTTTTAGCAGAAAGAGCTCATTTCCCCCAGTCCCCTCCCTCTGCCCCCTGTGCTCAAAATGTTGTGTTTTTTGGCATTACCAAGTTTACAAAGGCACAAAAGATCCCTCCAAGTGGTAAGTTATCCCATTGCCTATCCCAGAGCTGCAAATCATGATGATTTCTTCCTTGTTCTTTTTCAAATGAAATAGTCCATGCACCAGGCAGCAATCTCAGGCTTGTACAGATGAGATAGAAGAAACTCCTTTTATATTGTGCCCATTGCTTTTAATTTAACAGGGCTGTTGGCTGCCTTTGCACCTGGGCTGAGATTACCTAGTACGGAAATAGGAGAAATAATGAATCCAAAACCAAATAGAAAAGCACTCATCAAAACAATTTGAGATGCTCAGGAGAATGTTATGTAAATGAGGTGACACAGTAGGGAAATGGCTAAAGACAGGAGGAGAACAATACATGGTACTTTCAGACTCTTGATTGGAGGAAAAGCGAGCAGTGGTAGGTAGGTAAATAAATATTAATCCCGTATCTCCTTGTGTTGGCACAGCAGCGTTAGCTGCACAACAGAAGATCACACTTTAGAGTAGTGGACCCAGAGAGGTGGTTTCTGGGTGACTGAGTGGGTACACACCACTGGAGCAGTAGCTTTGGCAGCTTTCCTGTATTGTGGCACTGCATTAGTGACTGACACTCTGAATAGTTTCTTTCTCTCCGCTGAGTTTACACTCTTCAGATACTTGTAGACAATTACTAGAGCTCCCCTCAGTCACTGTTTAGTCAACTGTACATAATTTTGTGCTTTTTAATCTTTCCTCCCATGTCAGTGACACCAGTTCCTTAGTCCCGTTTGTTACTCTTTGCAGAATTCTCTCCATTATGAGATGCTCAAAGCCAGGGCCATCTGGCGGCGGGGGGGGAAGAGAGGGCAAAAGGCTCAGGCTGCCACAGGCCCCCCATTTGAGAGGGCTCCTGAACTGAGTGGTGTTGCAACCTGGCACATGGGGTTGCAGAGTCACTCAAGTTTGGCCCAGCTGTCCCTTCGTCATGACAAACTTTGCCCTGGCCCTCCAAGAACTTCTGCATGGCCCTGCTCAAAGCTGAATGCAATAGTTGCAAAAATTATTATTGTAATTATTTAGTATTTGTATTGTGACAGAGTAATTAAAAGAGGTCATGCTATTAAACACTCAATTTATTGCATAATGATCTAAAACATTTACTCTGAGGTCACGTTACTCAAAGTCCCCATGTACTAGGGGCTGTGCACACTTTGAAAAAAGACAGGCATTGCGACAAAGAGTTTACAGTCTATGATGAGACAACAGTTGGAGAAAAACAAATGGGAGAAGACAAGGTAATAGTGACATGACTGTGCGTGGGTGTTGTAATAAGCAGCAGTCTCACTGCCTATTTGACAGGGGACCTAGCAGTAAAATATTTCCCATGAATGTGATGTGATCTGAATATGGCAAATACATTAGTTTGTGGGGCTGGTTAAAGAATTGGAAAAATAGAAGAAAATATTAAGTCTTTAACTAACTTATGATGAAACACTGCATTGTGGTGCCATAAAGCATGGAAGGAAGACGAAAGAGGAAGTGATAACAGGGTTAACTATTAAGAAAGATGATAAAATAGTCTACATAATGAGACATAAAATAGAATACAGTCACTTAAATTACTCTTAATTCTTTCACAACCTTAAACTAAAACAAGCCTCATTATGTTAGAACATCTAAAATGCAACCCTTATGCAAGGAAGAGCAATAAGTACAATTTTGTATGTGTCTGCAAGATCACTTACTGAGAATATGCCTAGTATTCTGCTTTGCTGGGGCAACTGTGGCAAAAGCAAACACAAGCTGAATGATTTAGGAGCCAAGCCCAATCTTTTACCTCTAGTACCAGAGTCAAACCTCTATGACTGGATCATAGATGTACAAAAAACCAAGAACAGATTTCTGTTTTACTTTGTTGTGGAGGGTCTGAATGAATGACACAGAGGACTGAATTTTATTATTATATTTTTTAATTACTTAACTAGGAAGGTATTTAATCTTTTACTTTCTTGCAACTTTCCTATTCAGCCTTCTTCCAAAACTCATGATCGTACGCCAGGCTGTCATGCAGATTGGTCTTTCTGAGGTCCACTGGTATCCAGTCCACGTGCCGAGTCTTTGGTCATCTTCCATCCATGGTCATCGCAAGAGTCATTGTACTGACACAGTTCTCCAGTCTCCACTGGATATGCCCATACCAACATAGCCTAGCCTCCCTCAACCTGTCCAGGGGCGGTGAGTTATATGGGCCTGTGGTGCCCGGGCTCCAGCAAATTCAGGGCCCAGGGGCCCGGGCTCCACCATTGTTCAGGGCCGGGTCTCTCCACCAGCCCTGCCTGCTGCCCCTGCCTGCCCTGGGCAGTGGACAGCTGCCCCCTGCAGCTCCGCGCTGCGCTCCCTCGCCGGCCGTTGCCACCACCCGCTACAAGGGAGCGGTGCCAGGGGCAGGCTGAGACGGCTGCTGCTGAGCCAGAGGAGGTGTATGGCATACCCCTCTCCCCAGCAGGCGACTCCGAGTCAACTCCAGGGGGGAGGGAGCTTATCCTGGCGGGACCTCCTGAACAGCAACCTGGGGGGGCTTGTGTGAGTGTCGTGCCGGGGAGGGGGTCCCCGCTCCCCCGGAGCTCACTGCTGCTGGCAGGGAGAGGGCTGGGGGGTGGGGGGAGTCCTCCTCTCTGGCCCTTGCCCTGGGGCAGCCTGCCTGCTGCACCCAAAATGCCTCATCCCCGGTCCAGCCCCATGCCCCGCACCCCCTCCTGCACCTCAACCCCCTACCCCAGCCCAGAGCCTGCACCCAGCACCCAAACTCCGTCCCAGAGCCCACACCCCTCTTGCACCCAAACTTCCTCCCAGAGCCTGCACCCCAAACGCCCTCTCACACCCAAACTCCCTCCCAGGCAGGTGTGGGGGGAGGGAGGGGCAAGACTTGGACCCGTCTGGGCATCACTAGAAATTATACAAACCTGCCACCCCTGAACCTGTCTTCAATTGGAGCAAACTGCATGAATCCCCTTTCAACCTTGTTTCATTTTCTATCATGAAGTTCAAATACTTGGCACATCTCAACATCTTCATTTCCATGGTGGAGAGTGTATGGATTTCCTTTTTTGTGGCAAGACAAGTTTCTGTTCCGTACATTAAGATGGGTCAAACTGCAGTTTTATACTCTACCTTTTAACTTTATTGGCATCTTTTGTTTACAGAGAACTGGGGTCAGCTGTCGCCATTTGCACCATGCAGCTTTAGTACGATGCTGGGCTTCACCATCATCAGCCGCCATTGATCCTTGGTATTTAAGTTGTTTCACTCTTCTAAGCTCTCTGCCTGTAATATCCTTTATGGTGAGTGCTCCTCCCTTAGATATCATAACCTCTGTCTTACTAACATGTACCGTCAGGCTAGCCGGCTCAAAACTATATTGCCGCTATTCAAAGTTGCCTTGTTGTATCTCACAATCTTCCACACTCTCTAAATCACCTGCAAACAGCATCTTCCAAGGCAAATCCCTTCGTATAGTCTCACTCATCACACATCCATCCACAGCTGCAAACAAAAAGGGGCTCAACACTGACCTCTGATGCAGGCCAATGTTTACCAGAAATTCTCTACTGTAGCCCCATTTAGTTTTGACTATGGTAGTCACTCCATCACACATGTTTAAAGTAATATTTTATAGAATCAGGATATGTTGCATTACTTTACTATGGGTGACATTACATCTCTAAAAAAGAACAGGAGTACTTGTGGCACCTTAGAGACTAACAAATT